ACTGTAAAAAAAATTCTTAATCCCAATTTTGGGCTACAATGGCCAAAAGAGTGGCTCTCATACCCGAAGAATTGGTATCGTCTTATCATCTTCAGAAGCCAGAATTGAGATTGGAAGATGACATAGACACGTTATTAGAAAGAGCAAAATTACCCGACGACATGAAAGCAAAGTTGTTGGGGCAACTAATCACGCGGTATCACAGAACAGTGCACGCACCACCAGAACCTATACGTGTGAGCCTTGCGAATGAAGCGAAAGAAACTAAAGAAGAGAAGGGATTCCAGCAAGTGGAAGATCCTGTTATTAGGGATATTATTCTATCAACACCCCCAGAAATTTTCTAGATTGGTGCCTCTGGTCGCCGAAAAATTAAAATCGAGGCTTTATTCATGGAACGATCGCGGAGAAATGATTCTTGACGGTAAAACGATTCAGGGATCCAGTATGGTGGATTTCTTTAATTACCTAATGAGAAATATAAAAAATGCTCAAGAGCCAAGGCATTTCGATGTATTTCTAAAGGCTATCGAAGAAATTAATATACCGCGCTCATGGATAGGGAATCAGAATGTGTTGTCTCTCGCATGAGAGATACCTCATCGCACTACCCCCTCACGGAAAATAAATCCTCGAGCGGCGAGGAAAATGTCTTTCGATGGCCCCCATCAAATGTGAAAGACTTCGATCATCAAACAAAAAGAAAACAGCAGAGATATAAAGTACAGCAGGAAAGAAGAGGGAGATCCCAAAGTCAAGCACCTTATAAAGAGGAATGGGAGGAGCTTTAAACGATGCCGACGCAATTTTAGAAAATATCTATTACGATGTAGAAAAAACCCCGCTTCGTATGGCGGAGTGGTAAGATTGGCTCGTGCCGCACAACTTCCGTTGAAAACGACGCGTCGATGGTTAATGAAACAGGATGCTTATACGTTACATAAACCAGTTCGCTTTAATTTCAAACGACGGAAGGTGTTGTCTTTCGGCATTGGAGAATTAATGCAATGCGATTTGATTGATTTGTCTAAGCTCTCTAAATATAACGATGGTGTAAAATATTTATTAACAGCAATTGATGTGTTTTCTAAACGCGGGTATGCCATTCCTTTAAAATCGAAGAGTGCAGATTCTGTACTCGAAGGATTTAAGAAGCTATTTAAGGAGACAAATTTTGTGGTGAATTTACAAACAGATGAGGGAAAAGAATTTTTTAATAAAAAAGTTCGTGACTATTTTAGAAGACATGGAATACATCATTATGCCTCTAACAGCGAATACAAGGCGAGTGTTGTAGAGCGATTTAATCGAACGCTAAAATCTAAACTCTATCGAATATTTACTTACACCAATTCCTACAGGTATGTGCATGTCTTGAAATCAGTTTTGAAAAGCTATAATTTGAGTATTCATCGTAGTACTGGTTATGCACCTGCCGACGTGAAGCCGGAACTAGAAAGTGAAATTTTTGAAAAACTGTATGGCTATAGCATAAAACCGAGATACAAATTTGAGGTAAATGACCAGGTGAGGATTTCTAAAACAAGGCGAGCATTTCGCAAAGGTTATTTGCCCAGTTGGACGGATGAGGTTTTTGTCATATATAAGAGATATCCTTCGAGTCCTCCGACATATCTGCTTAAAGATTTAAAAGGAACAGTTCTGAAAGGAAGGTTTTACGAACAAGAGTTACAAAAAGTATTAAAGAGTTCTCACGATTTCTGGAGAGTGGAAAAAATTCTGCAAACGAGAGGTGTCGGTGCTAAGAAAGAATATTTCGTCAAGTGGAAAGGCTTTGATCGACGGTTTAATTCGTGGGTGAAAGCGTCATGGATGAAATGACAGACGAATTCTACGTTACTCTACCCAGCAATGCGAGCATGCAGTATTTCCCTCAAAACAATCAATCATCTTATCGAACAAAACTCGCCTCTCCTCTGTTATTGAACGATTCTTGGGAAGTAGGTCTAACTGAAATTTTTATTCCACGAAATTGGTATAATGTGGGAGAGTATAATAATGACTATGTAATAACTAGGAATGTGGAGAAAAGCATTCCTATTAAATTTTCACGCCATACTTTATCATTTAATTATGGCGTTTTAGTTTCGGTAAACGCAGATGTTTCTCTAGAGGAATTTTTATCAAAACTGAATGATAAAATTAGTACCATTCTCGGTAGAGAGGACGCTGTGAAATTCGTTCTAGAACATGAAGGGAGGAGTATTCGCTGGGTTCTTGCAAATGGTTTCGAAGTACACATTTCTAAAAGAAAAGCTCCTAAAATGTTACAGATGTTTTACTTACCAGATGAAGATACTATTATTAAAAAATCTCAAGTGATGAGATTCAGATCAATAGCTGAAAATAAAGATCAGTTATTTTCAATCATAAATAGGAGCCCTTCTAGCACGAAACTGCATTTGATTCCGTTAACCTTAATAAAAGCAGATGTATCTAGGGGTCTCTTTGGCGACGTAGCAAAAAATATCCAAGATCTTAAATTGGAAAATTTTGTCACTTTCACCTACGATCAGACGAAGTCCCAACTAGAAATAAAGGTGTCAGAAAACACGGAGCTGCATATTACTCAAGAAAGAGCATCCTCCCTTTTAAGGATACTCGGCGTCCGCGAAAACCTTATAATTTCGCAAACGCGAAAGTTTCCTGTGCTTTTGCCCCTAACTGTGGAGGAGGGGGAAGCTGTGGAACTTATAATTAAAGGATATCCCGAAGTAACTATGACTGAAAAAGAAACTTTACATTTGCATGTCAGCGCAGGCGTATATAAATCACCGGAAACTTTATTTCGCGAATTTCAACACGTACATTTAAGACAATTAGCGAATTCAAAAGTGTTTTTAGAAGTTCCTCCAGAATCGGAGCTGGCATTTGGGAAAGGGCTGGCAGACATGCTGGGATTCGTCAACACCCATTTCAAGAGCGGAAAATATATAAAGCGACTATCCTTTAGAACTGGACGGGGGCATTACAGAAATTTTTGTGTACAGCGATTTAATCGAATCACATCACGTTGGAGATGTGCATGTTCCGCTGCTAAGGGTTATTCCCTGCGTGAATGAAAAAAATGATCAAATTGTGAAGCATTATGAAAAAACTATATATTTTCCTTTGCGAAAGCACTATGTGGAAACGATAGAAATAGAACTGAGAACGAGTAGCGGGAAAAAAATTACCTTTACGGGAGGAAAAACATTTGTAGTCCTGTCTTTTCGCCGTAAGAAAACTATATAAATTGAAGATTTTTCAAGCTTTCCTCTCACTTTCTTAAAACATCCTTAGAGAAATGCACTTAAATCAGAAAGAGTGCGAATCCTATTATTGTGCTCAAGTTGGTGGTGGCGGTGGTGTTTACTTTCAAGGTATACCTCACCAACGAGGTTATGGGTTTTTTGGAGATTTGCGCCGATACATTACGCCGTTGGCACTTAGAGCCGGTCGTTATTTGGGCAAACAGTTGATGCAAACAGGAAAGAACGTCTTGTCAGATGTTGCAGCGGGATCGTCATTTAAGGACTCTGCTCGGAGCAGGTTACGTGAGACCTCTAATAAAATAAAAAGTGATATTTTTGAAAAATTACAGAGGGGAGAAGGTATAAAAAGAAAGCGCAAGAGGAAAAATCGTCAATCAAAGAGCAAGCGTTGTAAGACAAAAGCAGATATTTTTACATAAAGATTAATAGTAATGGAAACTCAGGGGGTTATATGCCTTAAGAGCGAATTGGATCTCTTTAATGGTGTCGCCGTACAACTGGGCATCGATTCCTCTTCCTTCGTGGAAATTCCACCCCGTATCTTCATTGTCTGATAAGACGCCCATAGAATTTTACATTAGCGGTAATGGTGAACACTATTTGGATTTGGCGCATACGATACTACACACACGACTTAAAATAACGAAAAAAAAACGATACCAATCTCACCGACGCCGACGGGGTGGCACCTGTTAATTATATTTTAAACACATTGTTTTCCGACTGTTCAATATTTTTAAATGATAAACAGGTTTCGTCACAAGTGAATTATTCTTATAGAGCCCTTTTGGAAAGTTTGTTGTTCTATTCCAAATCAGGTCAAGATAATCTACTGAGTGCTGGCTTATTTGCAAAAGATACTGCATCTAAGCATGATGTTGTGGGAGACGAAAACGAAGGTTATACAACGCGTGCAAATCGTTGCAAGCTTAGCCAAAGCCTCGACCTCGTGGGACCATTGCACTTCGATTTGGCCACTCAACCGAAATTGTTAGTCAACGGGGTTAATGTACGCATTAAACTGGAAAGGCATAAAGATGTTTTCACTTTGATGTCGGCAAACGACAATTATAAAATTAGAATTCAGCTAGCAAAACTATACGTGAGAAAAGTCAGCGTGGCTCCCTCCATCCTAATAGCACACGAAAAGGCTTTAGAAAAAGGAGTTATTAAGATGCCCATTCGTAGGATTGACATAAAAAGTTTTGCAATATCGAGCGGTTTGCAATCGACAACTATAGCAAACGCTTTTATTGGTCAGCTACCCACACGTCTCATTCTAGGTTTTGTATCTAATGCCGCCTATAATGGAAGCATCAACAGAAATCCTTTTAAATTTCATCACTATAACCTAAACTACCTATGCATATTAAATGGGGGACAGATGATACCTTCCAAACCCTATCAGCCCAATTTCGAAAAAACATTTTATGGGCGAAGTTATTTAAGCATCTTTACAGATTTAAATCGATATCATTCAAGCCCCAACATTAATATCTCCTTTGATGAATACAAAGATGGGTATACATTATATGCCGTTGATTTGACTCCAGATATGGCATCTAATGAAAGCCACGTAAGCATAAATAAGAGCGGAAACATAGCCATTGATATCAAATTTGCAGCGGCCTTGCCAGAAACAGTTACCCTGATAGTCTATGCTGAATACAGGAACATAATTGAAATAGACAAGTCACGCGGAGTCACGACAGATTATTAAAAATCATGGACGAAGTTTTGCAAATATACGGAAATGAAATTATCGAACTAGCTAAGGAGGCGGGTGCAGGCGAGGAGGTAATTCGAAGTATAGGCGATATGATGTTTTCCAATAAAATAGCGAACCTGCGCATTGCATTCTTTCTCGCTTTTGCCGAAAAAATTATTGAAATTTTCCCATCAAAGAAACATCAAGTGTACGAAGAAGTGTTTAAAAGCATATACAGAAATATTCATTTCGAACAAAGGCGGTAATGGATACTTTAACTCTGTGTCAATATGCCTGTGGCGACAGTCGAATCAAAAAAACATTTGGAGGTGTATATCCTTCCGATTTCATACCCTTACGAAAGAGACATTACTCCTCATTTATAGTGAATTCGGATCCGCATACTTTACCTGGGAGCCACTGGATTTCGATATATTTTAAGAAAAACAGCACGGCATATTACTTCGACAGTTATGGTCTTGCTCCATCTAACAAAAATATTTTAAACTTTTTAATGACCAACGCTAACAAAACATTTTATAATAAAATATGCTTTCAAGATGATACCAGTACATCCTGCGGAAAATTTGCTCTTTATTTTTTATTTTGTATGGTAAGAGGGTACTCTTTGAAGGACCTCTGCACGAAAGATAAGAAAAAAAAATGAAATTTTTATTAGGGAATTTTTTAAAAAAAAAATTCAAACGTCGCCGCTGTTGTCATGCTTTTCATGCCAAGAAACAAAATTGTGTGTCTTTGATAAATATGCGTGTTATTCCTGCAAAACATCACTAACGCTTCAGAAGTCGACGATGGAACGTTACGGCTATTTGCACACTGGAAACTCCGAAAACAGTCCTGTTGAAGAAGTACACGTTGAAAAAATTAATCATTTTTTCTTTAAAAACCTAAGCGACTGCATTCGTAATGCTCTTTACGATGAAAACACTAGCGGGAAAGGAAATCGTCATTACCTGAAAATTTTGAAGAATGCCGAAGTGGTCAAGCATATTCATAAAGCTGACCATCAACCACAACAACAATATGGATATTGCTACTTATACATTCAAAATGAACAAATAGCTCTTTTTTCGGCATGTAGTAAATTATATAATAGCATGTTGGATTGTGTTTCTTCGAAAAAAACTGAATATGAAAGTGAATGTATAAGAGATGAAAGCTATGTAATTAAAATTGCTTACTTTGTTATTCTGAATGATGATGCTATTGTGCGAGAATTACATCGCACTTGTGTGTAACACAAACAATTTGATCAATAAAAAGGATTTTTTTTCTTTCAAATGCAATTTTTTTTTTGTCTCTGAAAAAAAAATATCAGATATATAGATAAATAATACATTTTTACACTTATTTATGAGCTGCCTTTTTCTATTCCACTGTTTTGTTTTCCGGTAAAAGCATCTGCCTTGAAGAAATTAATAAAATGTAAATTCCTCCAAGAAGATACTAAAACCGGACCTCTTGGATAAGGTCCATTTTTTTATTTTTTTTCTAAAGGATTACAGAAGCTTAATACAAAATAATCATTCTTGTATGCATGATACAATGAAAAAATCAAATGAAACAAAAAACATATTACTGTTGTAAAATATATAAAGGTATCAAAAATTAAAATGAACATTTAAAAAAAATCAAAACGATTTTTCGATGTAAATCCAATATGGGAACTAACCCATTATTTTCATTATACCATGTGAGATGTTATATTGATAATACAATAAGTAATCAAATGAAACAAAAAGTACATTTCACATTATTACAAACATAAATGGAATCATTAAATATCAACAAAAATTTCTTTCCCTCCCCCCTCTTTTTCGTCGAAACATACATGGAGGGGGTGTTTATAAAATAAAAATGATAAATCAGAATATTGCCTTAATGTGTCAGTATTTTTATTCATATTCGACAGTTAAAAGAAAAGTTTTCTACATAACCTCCATAACAATTATTATAACAGTCATCATGGTTAATTCGCGAGACATTCGTGTATCAAGTTTACAAAAGAAATGCAACATAAATTCCTGTCGCAAATGAAATACAGAGAACTTTGCTTACATATCTCACACCAATTATCTTCATTTCGCATATAAGTATCAGAAATTAAAATGAACATTTAAAGAAATCAAAACGATTTTTCGTTGTAAATTTATATAGAAACTAACCCATTATCTTCATTACACCATGTGAGATGTTATATTGATAATACAATAAGTAATCAAATAAAACAAAAAGTACATTTCACATTGTTACAAACATAAATGGAATCATTACATATCAACAAAAATTTCAGGGTGTTTATAAATAAAAATGATGATTAATCAGAATATTGCCATAATGTATCAGTATTTTTGTTCATATTTCGACAGTTAAAAGAAAAGTTTTCTACATAACCTCCATAGCAATTATTATAACAGTGATCATGGTTAATTCGGGGACATTCGTGTATCAAGTTTCCAAAAGAAATGCAACATGAATTCTCGTCGCAAATGAAATACAGAGGACTTTGCTTACATATCTCACACCAGTTATCTTCATTTCGCATATAAGAAAGGGTATCCCTTTCATTATAACATAAGAAATGATTGAATTTTCTGAAAATTTTACATTTCGTTCTGGTAGTGTCTGTTTGACATCGTAACCACAATTCTAAACATTTGTTGCAGCTTTTCAAATAAATATTAGACTCATTATTTTGAACAATTACATGTTTTACAAATGTGATATGTGCAATCTTTAGGTGTAAAAGAAATATAACATCATCATCAAAGAAAAACCAGGCAATAAATTGTTTAGAAAACCACTTATTAAATCGAATTCTTTCATAGAGAGTTAAACTTTCATCCCAAAATACATCTCTGTTCTCTAAGGAGAAACTACTTTCAAAATCAATCCAGAATCGACCTTTCTCTATTATATCTCTTAAAATCATACGAGGAATATTCAGTTCTACATTATACAGTTCAGCTATACATAATATCGAAGATAAAATAGTTTGAATACACATATCTTGCAAAGAAATTGGTTGAAATAAAGCCATATCTTCTGGGTATTCTATGGGAGGGAAACACATTTTTGTTTTTTGTCGATCATTAGCATAAAAAAATATAAGTTGCAAAAATACAATGTCACACTCTACAATAAAATGTTACAAAAAAGTTCCATCATTTTTTTTTAATTCATGTCTTCTTCACGCGTGTTATAGTGACCATAAGACAATGATTGAATTCCATCATCTAACAAATATTTTTTGTCATAATATCCCGAGAGGCTAGCTTTATTTTGAAAAATCGTTTGCAGTTCGTGCTTTTTTGAAATGATTGAATATTGAGAATTCCTAATCAGGGAAGCATTTTCGAAAACGTTTTTATACGTTTCAAATCCAATGTTTTTGAGCGCGCTCCTTTTGATTCCTTTCGCGGTCTTTTTAACAGTATCACCGAAACGAAATGCGTACATTTTGCATTTCAAACCCACAAATTCCGATATGGGGGTGAGTGTCTCACTTTTTAGAAATCCCAGTTTTCCACGGTTCTCTTCATTAAACATTATATGATTGGGTTCGAAATTACTGCAATCCAAAATATTTAAAAAATTCGTTTTTAAATCACTATATACATCTTCAGTTGTTATATAGAGATACAAAGAATCTGTATCTGTGTATAACAACTCGCATTTTTCTTTGTAAAAGTGTTTAAAATGGGAATAGAATAATTTATACATGTGCAACTTCGCTAATTCTAAAACGCTGAAACCTATATAAATCGGTTTATCTAGACACAAATTTGGATTTTTCATTTTGAAAACTGAAAAATTTTCATTAATTATTTCAAAATATTCCAGCAGAGGGACTGTTTAATTTTTTTTGGCATTGTTCCTCACTAAAAACGCCCTGTACGCGAATACGTTTCCTAACATTTTGACAGGTTTTTCCATAGAAAGCGTTATTCATCTTTTTAAAGAAAGATTTTTCAAATTCGCTAGACGCATTTTGTCTTTTCATATTATTGAAAGCAATGTATTCTTTAAGCCACGCTCGTTGTTTGAAAGCTAAAATTCTATGAATTTTCTTAATTATTAAACCCTGTTCTACGTAAAACTTTAGATTTAAATAATGAGCGATGTAATTTTTTTTTTTTTCAAAAAAATTGGGTAATAATTTTTTGCATGGAAGTGTCGTCTCTAACTGAAATTTTTTGCTCAGGGTTTTGGCATAAGGCGATAGCATGTCAAAAGTGAGTTCAAAATGTTCCGGTGCTAGCGGTAAATCATTGTGTTGGTCATGCAGATGGGAGGGATAGGGATATAACAGATCGGATTCGATAATATACCCCACATCACCGTCTTCAACACAAGACAAAATATCAAACGCCTCCACCTCATTTTCCTTTAACCAGTAAAAAACCTCCCAATGGCAGGTGCTGGCTCATTACACACCCGTATAGATTATTTGCGTCTAAGGCTAAGATATAGGTGTGTGGTAAATCGGGTTTATAACTCTCGGGGATATAAGGATTATTTGCAAGAGCATAACGTCTACCCAGAAAACAAATACCTCCTCGCATTTGGTTTTCAAACCAAATGTATTGATTCACATCTCCTAGAAGCTCTAATTCAATTTTAGACGCTTTCAGTCCGGCATTCCACGTTAATTCGGCAGCCGTTATAAAATGTACAGGATCCAACTGGTAATATTTTAGAGCGGTGCGTCTGAAGGATAAAAATACTTCGGCTAGCAAAATAACATCTGTATTTTGATATAACTCTAAGTAATCGGCAAAAGTGTTACATCCAAACGAATGAAACACGTGTGTGGCATGTACATAATCTTCGTCGGAAACTGCTTCTCCTTGTAATACATTATTAAACGCGCTCTGCGGTGGAAGCGAAGTTTCATCCAACACCGATGTTGACGCAAAATATGAGTAAGGAAATACGCCTTTCCGCAATAACAATTCTCGTTGGGGATTTTTCTCAAAAAATGCATTAAACAATTTAAATTCATGTTGTGACGTTTTCAAATTCGACACCAAAGTGTCCAAAGACGCATCTAAAAATTGAAACGAAT